AAATTTTAAGCTTGATTAATTTTAATTTTTTGTTCTACATCAAGAAGTGTTTTTTTTTCCTTATTAACTTATTATTTTACTTAAATTCTCATCAATTTTGAATTGTCTCTGTTGGTTTTGGGGCTACAGAGATAGGTAGCTATAGTTTGAAGAGTTAAAAATAGTCTATTTTTAGCTAATTGTTTCAAGTTCTTCAGATTATAACTAAAAAGGGCTAAAAGGCTGCTTTTGAAACTGTTTTAGTGAGAGATGTTATTTGAAAACTTTTGATGAGGGAAATTGCTGCCATATTTACATTTTGAAAAGTGTTTCCTTATTTACACACTATTGACTTCCTATTGAGACTCAAAACTTTAAGTACAACTGGTAAAGAATTCAATGGATCAAACTCAGTAAATCTGAAGTCACTGGAATAAAGGCCCCTAAGAAAAAAATGTGTCAATTTTAAAGGTCTTTCCTAACTGAAGACCATTTTGTGATAGAGCCAAAGGTTAATAAAATCAGTAGTGAATGTAGCAATTTTACAGATAAGCTATTCACAACAAGTGTAGTTACTTGAATAAAAAGCTAATTCAGTTCTAAAATGCCACATGCAGTAGCAGTGAATAGCTGCTTTTAGGTGCTTTCTGGAGGAGGATAAAATACAGAATCACGGCACTCTTCTCTTCCAGCGTCCCTGGCTGCCTGTAAATTGCTGTGAATGGGGCTGTGGGCTGACAGGCTCTATTAAGACAAACTGCCTTTCTCATCGGAGAGATAAAATAAATCAGGTGTTTAGTCAAATTAAAATACTTCAGCTGGAGCAGGCCCTGGGGAGCACTGATCCACCTGACTAATCTGAGAGAAACTCAAGACAGATGTGGTTTGGGGATAAAGACGACCCCATGGAAAAAAAAAAATAAAAAACTGCTGCACTGTCTTTGGAGTTGGAGAATAGATACAGTTTATAGTGGAAAGTGTCAGGCGCACACTGTGTGTGATATTGGATAAAAGCAGGCACGCTGACTTGTAGAGAAGCTGTGTACAGGAGCTTTTTCTGCTGGTTCCCTTTTTTGTGGTTTATGGAACTACCTCTGTGTTTGTGTGGGAGAGACACATTTCTGGCAATGCTTTTTAGAGAACTGTTTTAAGATAGCCTTAAGGATGTGAACCAGATGATGTTAGGCAGCTACTGATGACCTCTGCTGGCCTGGGCAGAGCCTCAGTATCTGGTCTACCTTCCTTCCAAGTTGATTGTATCAAACCTCAAAACAATTTAAGACAAGATTTTCTACACAGAGTTAAGCTACCTCAGAAAAGCATTCTATGTGGTCCTTTGTCTTCCTTGACATAGCCTCAGCATTTAGGTTGCCTCACTATGTCCCATAAATTGTCTACTTCATTAACAACACTGGTAGTTATAGTCATGTTCGATCGAACTCATATTTTTTTAGATAATTTTTGTTTTCAGGATGGTCAGTGTGATTCAGACTTGATGTTATTTTTGTTACCGCATCATAAATATTTGCTGTTAATTAAAACAGAAAACCGAGCACCACAGAGTTTGAACCATTCATTACATGTGAGGAAATACAATGGGTACAGAACAGAAAAATAACCACATGTGCACACAGATTAGCCTATACATTTAAAGAATGTAAGCTATTGTATAGGGTAGGTTGCTTTCTCTTTAATTTGACCCCCAAGGAACTAATGGCGTGCTCTCTCTCTCTCTCGAATTACATATATATAATTTCCCATTCAGGGGTAATTTTAGATTTGTTATATACTACTGCTGAATTTTCATGAAATTTCATTACAACTGAATTTTTTTATTCCATTTATGTCTATTCAAAATATATCTGTGCTCCCCAAATTTAAGGAAAAGATAGTGACAGACTAATATAAGTACCTAAATCCTATTAAAAATATTGCTATCTGCTTTGATTTTTTTCTCAAACACATATTTTTAAGTTTAATGAAAAACTTATTTAGACATCACCAAATTTCTATAATTAAACAATTTGAATCTTTTTTGTAAAAAAGCTTAAGTAAAAGGGTGTTATTCTGTAAATTTAGATATACTTAAACATGTCTATCAGCACCAATGCATTTACAGACCTGTTGGCTTCACTTTGAACAGAAGAGGCTAAGCAGTCACTTAGGTGTTATTCTCAGCTTCTCTTTTCCCTGTGCAGAGGCGACAGAGGAAAATATTGATGACCATTGAAAAGACATTGTAAAAACTGGGAGAAGAGAAAATTTTCCAGTCTCTGTATTGGTCTTTGACCCAAATTTCCTATGAATGCTCTTCTTTATTAATAAAGAATTATGGTTCAGTAAGTTTCCCAGTATCCAATAAGATTTCTCTTAACTCACCTCAAATAGATAGGTATAACAAGAAAATTACACGTAGATCAGAATGTTGCAAAAAGTATGTGTAATAAAATGTGCATTTTTCTAATTTATCTATTTTCATAGGTTTCCAAACTATTCTTCACACTGTAGCCAGAATGACCACACCATTCTTTTTTAAAATACCTTCGTGATTTTGGAATATTCTTAGAATAAATATGCAGTTGATTAACATTGTCTACAAGGAGCTGAAACGTGTGACCTTTTTCTACCTCTCTATCCTTATCCGGTATTCTACTCCCCCTTATTTTCCTTGCTTAGGCTTTATCATCTCCTTTAACCTTCCGGAACACACCGAAACTCCCCCTCCCCCACTCCAGAGGGCCCATGCCTTCTTGTTTTCTCCTTCTGAAAAGCTCTTGACCACCCTCCAACTCTTTGCCTAGTTAACTCTTTTCATCTTCCTGTCAATTTCTTACTTTTTCAGCCATACCTTCCCTACACTTGGGCCTCCCAAACTTGGTTAAACCTACTCTCAAATATCTGTCTTGTTTGTAAATCTTATTTAGTTGTAGTTTACATTCATATATATGATCACTTCATTAAGGTGTCTCCCCACTTTGGACTACAAATCGCATGACATTAGGGAGCTTGGCTTTTTCTTACCGCAGATTCAGTTTCCTTAGCTCTCGATGTAGTACCTGGCATAAAGATGCCATTCAGGAAATATTTTTTGAAAATTAAAAATGAATGAAATGAGTAAATAAATTAATTTCATACTTGTTTTATATCTTCCTATCATATATATATATATATATAATATATAAACATATATGTTCGCCAAGCTTGTGTTGCTTTTCAAGAAATTTTTGGATTCCCGGGGTAAACCTGCTTTTGCATTTTAATATTTCTGGATCAAGAAGTTCATTCTTTTACCAAGATGAAATTCCTATTGCCGAAATAAAAGCCGATTTTAAAAAATCAATTTGAGTACCTAGAAAGACAGCTCTTCACTATCCTTGATACAATATTTGTTCCCTTGTCAGTAGAATACACTTTCTAACATCATTTCTGTTATTTTGTTTTTCTTTTAATTTTGATTTTAGGCCATCTTTCTGCTCAGTGAATCTTTAAGGGATAATGATATTGACAGTTTGTTTGTTTAGGATTTGGATTGGCATTAAGAATCCTAAGGCAGCCCTGGCCAGGAGGCTGAGTTGGTTGGGGCACTGTCCTGTACACCAAAACGTTTTGGGTTTGATTCTCAGTCAGGGCACATACCTAGGTTACAGGTTCAATTCCCGGTGGAGGCGCGTACAGGAGGCAGCAAATCAATGTTTCTTTCAATAAACATATCCTTGGGTGAGGATTTAGGAAAAAAAAGAATCCTAAAGTGGTTCTAAATGTTGTAGCTTCTTTGCTGACATCAACCCTGTGGAATCATGTATTAGAAAGTGCTAGCCAGCATCTTCTGATGGCTCCCTTTCTCCATGGGGCTACTCAGAAAATATGGCCACTGTTAATTAAAATATTTTTAGTTTCTCAGATTACCCTGGTGCTTTCTTAGCAGGAATGAAGGGGGTTTCATAAGGAGATTGGAAGTCTCTACTTCCACACGCACAAAAATCGGCAATCTTTGTCCCCTTTGACAGCTGGTGGCATCTTTCTGAAAAGCTTTCAAATCATAGATCATTTCTTCATAATGAAACCTGTGTGGCTCAAATACAGTGGGTTGAAATTCTTATCTTATGCTACAGTAAAATGCTCTAATTTAGATTCACAAAAGGATTCTGTACCCTTTACTTAGGAGAGCTGTGCAATTTGCCCATAAAAAGACTGCTCAGCACCATTAGTGCATACCATAAGTGTTCACTGACATCATACTCATTAAACAGCACACCCTTATGCATAACCTTTTCAACCTTGAATGTGTTTCTTCCCTTTGAAGAATGACAAATGACAAAGGGGAGAGGGAACCCCCCAAGCAACATTGCCTTTAAGGATGAACTTGGGAACTTTAGCTTGATCCCCTCATAGAGGGGAAAAAAAAGTCAGGTTCAATCCTTTCTTACCTGAGGCAAGGCAGTTGTCTCTTCGTTCCATGGCTGAGAGAGTGACCCCTGACTTCTGAGCTTCAGAGACAGATCTTTGCACAATAGAAAAATTTTATGAGGGCAATGACCAGAAAATTCCTTAAATAACATTTATTAAGCACCTACTATGTCTTAGGTCCTATGCCAGTCACTGACAGTAGAAGTGATTATAGAATATTAATACAACCCATAGTTTCTAATCTTTGGTACTAAGTATCATTTGTTTACTAGCTTGGTCTGATAGATTTGGGGGAGGAGGGGAGAGGAGTGTGGTAAAAGGGAGAAAATGGACTAAGTAATTCTGCTTTTTTTGTTTTTAAGAGAAAGAGGGAAGAGTGAGTGAGAATTTTATTGGTAACAATACGGTTTCTTGGCAGGGGCAATGCCTAACCCTAGCATCCATTACATTCCTACTCTGTAACGCTCCTACATTCACAATGACCTCCACTTATTCTCCTGTATCTTTAAGTGTCTTAGGGTAGTCCCTTTCTAATTCTGTCCCCCTCCTATCCTTTCCCCAATTCATTCATACCTTTCTCAAACTTGTGAGATATATTCTTGTTTCCATTTTAGGTACACCTGAGAGCCTGGCAGAAAAAGAACGGCAGCTCTCTACCATGATTACCCAGCTGATCAGTTTACGGGAGCAGCTCCTGGCAGCGCATGATGAACAGAAAAAACTGGCAGCCTCACAAATTGAGAAACAACGGCAGCAAATGGACCTTGCTCGCCAACAGCAAGAACAGGTGAGCCCTGCAAAAGGAGCTGACAAACTGGGGATGTGGAATGTGCCAAGCTCAGCGAGTAATCACATTGATTGGTTTATTTGTCATAAGTGTTCCCCCCCAAAAAAGAGAAGAAGAAGAAGGAAAGAAAGATAAAAGCCTTTTGTAAATCAGGGTCTTCAAGAATACTGAGCGGATTCATAGAGGACCAAGAAAGGCATCACAGCACCTGGGCTTAACTGAAATGATAACGTCATTCCAGAACATTTGGATTTGATTAATTACTCAGGCGTACTTGTTCACATAGGCAGCGCATGTATTCCCAATGCAGCTTAACCATGAGTAAGTCACTTCTCTCTGGGCCTTACTCTTCTCATCCAGAAAAGAGGGTTCTGGTTTAGAAAAACTTTGAGGTTCTTCTAGCCCACAGAGCCAATGATTTTTTTCTAACTTTAAAGCTAGGGTGATCGCATCTGTTTTCCAGGATAAGTATTAATAATCTCCCTTCCACTTGTGAAAGTTGCCTGGTTTGGATGCTAAATTATATGGTCACTCTATTTGTAGCATAGGCAAATCATCGAAAACAAGTTAGCACACGGCTCCAATAAGAATTTGATTTCATTGATTTAGAAGTGAGGAAGAAGGAAAAGTAGCAATGTTTAAATGTATATCTTTTAAAAAATAAATCACTTTCCCAAATGTTTTTCCTGTCTCATAAGAGTACATTAATCTAACAACAGTGATCCTATAGAGTAGTCCCTGATGCTTTAGATCAGACAGACCCAAATTAATGTGCAGTTTTTAGGAATCTGACATTATTACTGGAATTATCTTTTCAGTTAAATGTATTTTATAGGGGTATATAGAGCAATATATGCTCTGTTGATTTTAATGAGTTGTGACGTCTGGTATTTTATATGCTTGAATATTTGCCCACATGTAGGAATATGGACTCAGCCCCTAATGGAAAATAACATAAAGGAACACTGTAAAAAATCAGAAGTTAGAATGTCATTTAGCCATCCAGAGATGACACAGTAATTAACTATTGACACTTGTGAATAAGCTAGCACAAATTAATCTTGACACATTTGCAGACGAGTGATATCTTACAGTGAACACTTTGTAATTATATTTCAAAATGAAAATTAAATGACACTTAAAACTAGGTTGTCATGCTCAATGAAGCGAGCATGTAGCTCAACCGATTGGCAAATAAAATTCAGAATTTGAGCCACATGGTGCTTATGTACCATACTTCACTGTGTCAAAACCATACGTCTAGAGTGGATGATAGTAATTGCACTGTGGTGTTCTGGATGCATTTCTATGCAGCACTTCATCATTTAGGAGGGACCATCAATATTAGATGCCTAGTGGTATTTCACTGGTTTGCTAAGAGGAAATAAATATTCAGAGGATCCAGCATCCAAACCTAGAGTCGCAGAGTGAGTTGTCCATTTCTTTTTTTTTTCCAATTTAAATCATTTTTTTCTTTTTCAATTACAGTTGACATAGAATATTATATTAGTTTCAGGTGTACACCCCAGTGATTAGATATTAGATAACTTATTAAGTGATCATTCTGATAAATTGTGTACCCATCTGATACCATACATAGTTATTAGAATATTATTGACTATATTCCTTATGCTATACTTTACACATACATGTTTATTCTGTAGCAATTAATTCGTATTTCTTACTCCATTCGCCTTTTTCACCCATCTCCCCAACCAGCCTGTGCCCATTTCTAATTTGAATGATGACAAGCAAAGTGGGCCTTTCCAACCTTATTAGATACTGTTTCCATTTTGCTTATAGAGCTTTGGGGAAGAGTGGTCCCATGTCCCAAACTGTTATGGACAGCTTACCATGACTTCTGATATGTGCCAGTCATCACCAGAAACCTTAAAGCAACAGTTGGGAGCGGACTGCTATGTTATCCTCCTCTGCGGAATGAAAATGTGATTAGGTGTTTCCCTCTGCTGTACGCTAAGGCATCGGAAAGACTCAAAGCATGTGGCTGGGGGTTGATCCACGCTCATTTTCACATCCAACATTGTTCATTCTAGAATATTGGCTTTTGGAAAAAGAAAAAATAGGGAACCCCCTCCCCCAGCACTTGCCTAAAGGACACCACTAAATCAGTCTAAGTCCTCTCTGGCCACTTTTCTCTTTGGCTTTCCAGGTTGGAGTGTGTGCTCTCTAAGGGTATCGCCCTGGGCCTCAAGCTATAGCCGCTCAGCCTTTGTGGCAATAAGCAGCCTGATGGCCAACTCATGTTTCACTGTAAACACCATTATGCTAAAGAAGTTGTTTGCTCTCCTGAGGGGAAGATTCAGTTTTCCTCGGGGCTTGCATGAAGCGGTTAACATTTCTTTTTGTAGTCCCAATGATGTGTTAAGATGTTGAACTTAGTTTTTGGATGAAGCAAGGGGAATAGAACACATTGTCCTCAGAAAGATAAATGGATAAATATTAAATTTGTTTTAAAAAGGCTTTGCGCATCACTTCATTGATGCACTTTTGTAAATCAACAAAAAGAGAAAAATGATTTTTGACATTTTGCTGTATTGTCTTGGTGCTCCCTTGACGATGTTTGTCTTTTCAGTTCTGAAATTCTTTACATTAGGAGAGGTTTCACCAAAGTTGACCATACTATCATTAATAGAAATTTATTTCCTGTCTCTGCTTACAGATTTTACTTCTTTTATGTCCAATTAAGCTCTTTAGAAAAATGAAGCCAGAGTGTTTCCATCTTTATTCTCCAAGGATCAGATTTCAAAACTCCCTTTCCTGCCAGATGATCAGTATAGATGTGGATGAGCTGTTCACAAATGTAATACAAGGGGATGTTTTCACCTATGGATAAAGAGTTAGGGGTGAGCTGAGAAATGGCACCTGTTTGAAATTGTTCCTTTTCTCCAAATTTCTGATTCTGCCGCTTGCGTTGGATAGGAACTCTTTCACAGAGAAGTGCAGTAAAGCATTCTTGTAATGCCAGGAGAGGTGCCTGAGGTAAAGGCAAAGGTGTAAGCATTTCATTTTAACTTAATGTAACTTTATTTCTTATAGATTGCAAGACAACAGCAGCAACTTCTGCAACAGCAGCACAAAATTAATCTCCTGCAGCAACAGATCCAGGTCAGTGTATTTTATTACTCTTGTCTGATTATACTCGGATACTTTCCTCCTTGAAAATGGAATTTAAAATGCTGCAAATGCACCCCTGTCTTGTAAACAGCACCAATATGGCTACTATTCAAGAATGTTGTATACAGTTGTGTAAGTGGATATAGGAAATATCGACTAAGTGGTGGTCTAAGCATTCTTTATGATGTGATGCATAAGCAGAAAAATCTCTATCTTTTTTCTTTCTGCCATTTGCCTGATACAACCTTGTGGAAACCTAGCGGTTTCCAAAGTAGCATGCACATGATATTTTGATTGCCACAAACCAATTTCTGCTTTGTATTTTACCATCTGACAGTATCTTGGGGAGAGGCTTATGTTTATTTACTTGTTAGGACTATCTATCTGATTGGGCTAGTTGTGAGAACAATCATATGACCTGGGAAAATGTTATTAATAATTAATTTTTTCTTATTAACTTGATATTAATTGCATTTCTGTTAGATGCTGAGGGGAATATAAAGATGGACGAATAATTGTCTTCAAGGAGTTTATAGTCAAGAAAGGAAGAATAACTTGTTTCTGAATAACTGTAACACAATTTAGAAATTCTCTTTTTTGTTGTGGCAGAGTAACACTGTATATAGAACATAATGTCAGTGGCCTGGAAGGAATTTTGATTTCTGCCATTCCTTTAGATACTTGGTGGTTAATTCAACTCACAGCTTTTTGAGATAGGTAAGGAAGTGGTCTCCATTTTTGGATAGGAACAGAGGTGTGGTTGTCTGGTGAGTAATCCGTAGGAGTACTGATGCCAGAGTTCTATGTACCCACCACAGCCTCTGTGGTTTCTCTTGGCGGCTGTGGATATATTCTAACCACTGGGATCTGTGATTCAGCTTAGTTGGGGCAGTACATTCTGAATTTTATTATTCCTTACTTGAAATTACTATTACACCTTTCTGTATTCTTAAAAAAATCATTCACATAATGTTGTTGTTCACTCTAATCTTCTACCTTATTAATGAAAGCCAGTGATTTTAACTTAGATCCTTGCTTCATTTTGTTAATCATACTTAGTGTTCCAGGTAGTACTCACTGCACTTAAATACCAATTTAGTGCCTGAAAAAGTACCTGTGCCTAATTTGACCACCATGATAAGAAGGTTTTAACCAGAACTTTGTTGTGGTGGTGGTTGTTTTAAAATTAGTTCTGATTCTATATTCTGTATGCACGTCTATATGTTTCAAAATAAAAAGTTCAAATGTAGAGAAAATGGAATTTCTCTGGCATTTTTGACAGTCAGCCTTGACAATTAAATCTTGAAATAATTTCTCATTCTGATATCTCTTTTATAACTCATGCTGAGATACTTAATTAAATAACTGTCCAGGTGTTCCCTTGTTCTGCTCTTATTAGAATTTTCAGTGTGTCTCCTATTACTAAGGTCAAGATGTTTAGCGTGTGGCTTCCTACCTTTTTCTCTAGCTCCCTCTCTGAAAACTCAGTAGGTGTTAAATAACCTGATCATTTAGTTCTCTCTGTTTCTCATATTTGTAAAGCAGTAATGTAAGAAGTTCCCTGAGATGTTCTCATATCAGTTACTTATTATTAATGTTTTTACTACCTCTTTATTACTTACTTCTTTATTTTGAATGTATTTCACTTATTAGTTCAATGTTGTTTGTATTAAGTGGCTGTCTTAATTGATGTTTGCCTGTGGTACTGAGGCTCTCAGATGAAAAGCAACCAATTCAATGTATGTTTATGAAGTATTATTACTATTTATTGATTACATATGACTTTATAGTTACAGCTTGAGTACATGAAATTTATGTCTTTTTCAGGAATTTGAACTTTATCTTAAAATATTATTCATCAGAATGTTCAATTTGAGGAGATGGAAAAATTGTTGTTCCAAGTTTTCTAATAGAAGTTTAATTGCTTTTAACATTTGTGGATATTTCTCAATGTATAATTTTTTTTTAAATTGAAGCTAATCAACAATTGATCTCAGTAGTATAAATTATAAAAGCATTGAGAAATTCAGAGTATCAGAGTTATATTCATTTTAGAAATACAGGATTCTTTGTAACCAGGATTCATATTGTAAAAAATAATGGGAAGCAATAACCTGTATTTACAGCTCCTTCTGTCCTGAGCTACTATTTACTGCATATCTTGTCAGTATTTATCTTATCAGTATGAGATCACTGAAAGAATTTTTTAAATGCTGAAAAATACTTACTCCTTACACAACACACATTCTATTTCTGACAACTTTATTTGATTGATTTACTTTATTTTTTTTGAAAGGGGAATGGGTTGACTGTATTTTCAAAAATGGCTTTTGATAAGCCATAGACATGATCAAGTTTAGGAGAGATTATTTTAGAGCTAATTTTTAATATATTTTTTGAGCAAAACATGGGAATGGGATTTAAGAGATACTTTGAACATTTTTCTGTCATGAAGGAAGCATTCTCCCTTTTGAAAACAAAAGAGTAAAATAATAAATATAAAACCTAGCTTCTCTTCTGAACGCAAATGAATATGGGGACAATTTGAGCAAGCTTGACTGTTTTTCTTTTCTTAAAATCTTGAGTCCTAGAACCTATCAGCTAACATGGTCAGCAAGATTAAGCCTTGGCCATTGGCTGTGGATCATGAGTGTGAGGTGGTTACATTTAAGATTCTTTACATCTTTTTCAGAATGCTGCTCCTGAATTAGTACTGTTGTTTTGGAGTTCTCAAGCTGTAATAGAAAGAAAGAAAAGAGTATCTAACCTATCACAACAACCACAAATACATCTGGGCCTATTGTAATGGAAACAAATGACACCATGAATGGTTTACACAAATTTAAAAGCAGGATTTTTCATTAGACATAGGAAAAGGCATGATTAAGGTGCTATTGTAATGCTATTTTACTGGCTTATTTTATTTGTACTTGTTCAAAATTTTTATATGCAGCTAAAATTACTTTTTTTATACATATATATTTTCCTTCCTTGGACATCATTTTTTAACATAATCTGCCTTGGTAAAGCCTAAGTTTTTAAAGACATGCTTTTAAAACCATGTAAGCCTTGTTTAAAAAGTAAGATGAATGATTTGGTGAACTAATATCTTAATATTTTTGAAGGGTCAATTTTTACCATTCCAAATCAAGTTAACTTTAAATGATTTTTAAAATGCTTTAATATTAACAGATATTTTAGGAGGCTGCTTAGTGAATTCATATCCTTCTGTTTGTGCTTTGGTGAAAATGCTGATTCCTCTAATTTGTTACATATTAAGTAATTCCCCCGATGTGGATGGAGTCCCCACCCTGCCATAGTTAGACATTTTTGCTATTTTTAGGACAAAAATAGCACAGTATTTATCAACTCTATGTAAAACAAAACTAATAGATGGTTGAGTATGAATTCATGGAGCTGGGAATGTTGAGTCTCATGCTATAACTCCAAAGGACAGATAACTGCTTCAAATGTCACCCTCTTTCTCCTACCCAATTTCTTAGCCAGTCTCCTGGAGAATTTTATTTGTAAAAATAAATAAATTTAGGAATTAGTTGATTAGAAAACAAAATTTTCAGGCAGGGTAGGGAAAAGCAATGGCAAAAAAAGTGGGACAACTGTAATAGAACAACAATAAGAAAAGTAAAAAAAAGGAAACAAAATTTTCTTTTAATCCATTGGACATATCAAAGCATATTTACAGTATTTTAATCAACTATTACATATACAGGGTGGGCAAAAGTAGTTTAACAGTTATAATACAAATAAACAATATAATTAATAAATAATAATACAAGAATAAGCTTTGTGTTTCATGCACTTACAACTGTAAATCTACTTTGCCCACCGCTGTAAATCTAGTCTAAGCAAAACAGGGCATACTTTATAAATCCTGACTTTTTGATCCACCCATATATTTATTCATTTACCTTCATTTGACTATGTCATGGTTTTTGAATCTAGATACTCTTCATGGACACAACATACCACACTCTTTGGTTTTGATAGTATGTCAATAGGAACACATTTAATGAGAGTATTTGGCTGTTAGAACTTAATTTTTGCAAGAGAATTCGGCTCATTAAAATATCTTTATGAAAAACCTACTTCTCCAGGCATGAATGGTGTTATCCAATTATTTGTGTCCATTCGGACCCCAGTTTTAATGGTATTCCAGTGACTTGTATTGTGTGGTCTACAGACAGTGTCCTCTCCTCATTGCTGACCAAACAACAGTTGTCTCTTAAGAATGGACTGGCTGGTTGAAATTTCATTTGGGCATTTGGCTTCCTGGGCTGAGGCCAATGATTTAGTCAGCATATACACACCCACCTTCTAGAGTATAATTGTGAAACTTGAAATTCTTAGCTCTTTGTTAATTTTTATGGTTAATATACAGTATTAATTGCTCTCCCCTTGTCTTTTAATACATTCATTAATTGGTGAACTCAGTATGTGAGAGGCTGGAAATAAATGCCATTGCTGCTGCTTTGCAGATATTCTTGTTCTTATACAATGACTTGCTCTTTTAAATGCTGTGGTCCATGCTGCTTATTTACAAAACCAAGCGCTGGTCTAGTCACTGATGCTTCTCTCTTCTTAAGGGCATATGAGTATTTTTTCATACATAGTGCTTTCTATTTTGGTTATAACATATTCCTGTGTGCTGTTTGTGTATTTTGTCTCTGTGTGTTTGTTACGATAGAACACCATTTAATGCATCGTCTTCTTTCTTCCTGTCTATTAACCAGAGGAGATGTTAATATTATAGGCAAGAAGGTGATTGTTCTTAAATGATTAAATAGAATAATTTGTGATGTACTCTCACCTTTTTAGGAGATAAACCCTGCCTTTTGTTTCCTTCAACATGATTAACTACAGGCATTTCAGGTATCTGCTGAGCAGAATAAGGGCTACCATTTATGTGAAGGAGTTGTCTAAAGATCAGAAATAATTACTTTATACATTAGCCTTCATGGCCTGCATGACCT